CCTCTATCACTTCCTCCGGATTGCCAACGACAGTGGCTCCCCTACATATGACATACTCATGGAATCCCTCGAGGCATACCAACTCGACAGTGGCCTCACCGACCACCCTTAAGCTTTCCGCATACCCCCTCCTGTTGCGGACACCACTATACTCGGCACAATGCTCCGGGACCTTGCCACCTTCCAGCCAGCCCTCACCATTACCACGCACTGGCAGCAACCCGCAGCCAGCCTACCACGGCGTCCCAATGACCGCCCTATCTGGGCTTACCTCACCCCAACCCTGGGCACGACCCTCATATCCATCAACAGACTACATACAACAAAGGTCCGCTGGGTGGGAGACATTACCAATGACAAGGGCACCATGCTACTTAGCCTTGAGTCTCTCCGCACCAAATTTGGGTGGTCTAGGCACACGCTCCAACGGTTTGCTCCCATCTGGGACGCCATCCCCACAGCTGTGCCACCCAACCCCCCACCGGCCCTTCGGCAACAAACACTACCGTGGGCCCCCCGCTCCGCCGGCCAACCACTACCTCTCCCACTGGCACCACCGCTCCGTTCCCCCTACCATACCTTGCCCACCCTCTTGGCCGCACCTTCTTTGTCCCCACCCCGGGCTATGAAACCCTACACATCCCTGTCCACGCCATGCTAGTCATCCCTCACCACCTCACCCATCAGGATGAACAACCCCCCACCCGCAGCTACCGCATCGGGCAGCGCAATAGTATCCAAACCCGGCAATCACCCGCGGGCACAGAGATTGCCGTCACCTTCTGGCACGAACTCCGCAAAGGCTCAGACATCTGATACTCCCCAACACCGCGTGAAGCGCGCGGCCGCCACAGACTGGTATCCATTACCGACTGTGCAGTACTTATCGGCAACCTCCTACCCACCAGCCGAGCCCAACGCCACAAGTTTATTCCCTGGACCGACACGTCATGGACCGACGCACGTACCCATATCACCCACAGCGGGGAAAATAACCGCTCCCTCATTGTCTCCACCGCGGGAGGCACCACCCACCGGACCCAGCGCCCTACAGGGCACCAGCCGGCCCAGCAGGCAACGCCGGCATGTACCGCATGCCACCGCCTAGCGGACACTACGTTATGTCCCGACTGTGGCCAATGGCATCACTCGGCATGCATCCCACACTGTCAAGTTGTCCCACATCACACTACCCCGACGTACGGCCTACACACCCTCCCCCTACGGGCTGCGCGCGCTTATGCTGTGGGTGATGGCAGCGTCACACACCAGGGTACTCCAGCCACACATGGAACATGGAGCTACATGGGCCGCGACGGAACCACCCTCGCGGGGACCTTACAAGTTCACGCTAACCACATCACACCCACGCGTTGCGAAGTACATAGCCTCCTGGTGGGCCTCCATCATTCTGGAGATGCTGCACTACAAATATGCGACAACACAAAAGCCATTGGACTAGTCGTCCTAGCCAGATCCCTCAAACGCCGCGGTGGGCCCCCCGTTACAGCAACATATACAGGGTGGAACTTCGCTCGCTGATGGCTCTCTTCACTGATACTGGAACCTTTACAGGCGACTGGATCCGCTCTCACCAGGACCCCGCGGACACGCCCGACCCAATCCTCCGAGCCAAGCGCACACTCCTCGCCGAGGCGGACTCCCTCGCCACCCTAGCACACCAGCTCCTCCCCCTTACGAACTATGCGCACCTCATTATCCCGGACTACTGGGAGCTTCGAGACGACCACGACAGGCCGATTACGGGCGCAACGGCCCCATGGCTGGGCGCAATCTACGGCCGAAGAGATTGGCCCAAGGCCCAAGCCCGGAAGCCGGACACCCGCCAGACCATCCAGCCCCTACGCATCCCCACAGGGGACATCTGTAAATGGGACCTCCCTGCGCTCACTTTCTACTGGCGTGCCATCTGCTACACCTTACACACCAACGCCCGCAAACACCGCATACACCCACGCTGGGAACCACACTGTCGCACATGCCCCGCTTCCATCGACACGCAGGAACACCGCTTTAGCCTCTCACACCCTATATGCCCAATGGCGGTTCCACTCTCCCAACAAATCCTCCTCGCCACACAAGCCATCCTCCCAAAGGC